TTACTGGCAAAGTTTCTCCAGTAAGCATGCCAATAAATCGCCATTCTGCCCGGGTCGCGCCCTTTGGCGAAAAGTTTTGAACATAAAGTGAGACATTCTCTTGGAGGCTTTTTTGACCACATTTTAGGCTGTTCATCCCAACCACCAAAACTGTTCCTTAACATGTAAAAAGACTTTGCTGTTGCCATCAGGTGCTACTGTGATGTCAAATACTGCAGTTAGATGTGTTCAGGGATGGACTCTATCACACTTTTGGTTCAAATTGGACAATAAATGTGTTAGGGATGCAACCATTCAACTAATTTAATTGACACAAATTCTTTGCTTGGACGCTTTGTGTACTGCAGCGGTCTATAGTGCGCCATTGTCACCATGGAAATGCGAGCGATTCACCCACGTTTGTGACTAAACTAGACCTGCAGTACAAACGTATTCAGCAGTCAGTGTAAAAGTCTGACAGGCTGAGCTCAGGTGGAGCTTTTTCCAAAAGCTTTCATAACATTTTTCAGATTGAAGGTGAAATAATATAAAATATTGTGTTAATTAAAGTGTGTTAATATTTAAAAATATAAAAATAAAAGCTTTTCATGAGTTGCCAACAACAAACACGGGCTGGTAAAACTCTGAGCCAGTGACCTGAGGCTTGTTAGGTAACACATTATTATTATTATTAACCATCATAATTACTCGTTTTCAGCAGTACAAAGATGTTTCATCGGCGCTCAGGCCAAACTTTAAAATGCTGATATTGTCGCTTTTCTTCATCGCAGGCTTACAGACACAAACTCCTCACTCGTTCACTCTCACACACAAACACTCATGAACACACACCAAACCAAAACACTGCATGAACGCTTTCCGTCTCCTGTTAATGTCAGAAAACCTTCCAAGAACACAGAGTAAAGGTACAGTTTCTGTAGTTTAGATCGCACACGGCTTCTTTTATTTGACTTTGACCTTTCACTGTATATGAGCGTATTTCGATATTTTTGTGGTTAAGAAAATGTTTTCCAGGTTTCCAGCTTAGCCAGGATATTTTCTTCATTCAACCAGCTGTTCTAAAAACTGCCTGAAAAGCCTCCAGCATGCTGCAGCAAGAAGCCCATCTGATTTCAAAGACTGTTCCAGTACCGTACTTGGTTCTCAGACTACGTGCTTAATTGTGGCTCCTGAGCCGTTTAAAAGTGGAGTGGAAGGCAGAGCCTTCAGCTTTGTTCTGTGGAACCAGCAAACAGACTCTGTGTCTGGGACGGCTGTCGCTCAGGGATGGCCACTCCCCTTTTTTTCTCAGTAGGGTGACCCCCTGCAGAGGTTCAGTGATGGTAGTTAATTTGATTGGCTTACACCAGGGTAGAGGCGTCGGGATGGTTTAAATAGGCCTGTGCTCTCCCTCCAGGAGGGCATCTCCAGGGTTATGTTTGTTTTCCAGTTGCACTACTGGTAAGGTATAGTTTTGGCTGGATCAGATGAACCTGAACCTTTAGTGATGATGAAGGGGCCTTTCTCGGATCATGTGACTCATGTGACTGCAGAAAAGGATCTCTATGATACCAGAACAGAAATTTAATAAAATGTGATTTAAAATAAAAATCTATAAAGAACATAGAAAACAATGAAATGCAAAACTGTTTGTTTTTGGTTTTTTTAAGGGGGGAGCGAGATGATCATTCATTGTTAATCGTCTCCAAGTACTTGCTGCTTGTGTTTCCTGGGGCTTTCTGTGTAACATTAAAGGGTCTTTACACTCTAAATCTGCTGCGTGGAGGTCGCCAACTTTGGCCTATGAGCTTCATCCAAACTGTAAAGCAGCTTCCACTGGACTCTGGAGCAGTGGCGACATTTCTCTGGAGTGAGGAGTCTAACTTCTCCGTCTGGCAACTTGATGGACGAGTCTAGGTTTAGCGGTTGCCGGGGGAACAGTACTTGTCTAACTGCACTGTGCCAAGTGTAACGTTGGGAGGGGGGCTGTTTGTGAGGAGTTGCTACTTAGTTTCACTGAAAGGAACTTGTAACGCTTCAGCATAGCAAAACATTTTAAACAATTTCATGCTCCCAGTGGAACTAGTTTGATGATGGGCCCTTTCTGTTCCAACATGGCTGTGCGCTGCTGCACAAACTCCATGACGACATGAGTGAGTGACTTTGGTGTGGATTCTTAACCCAGTAGAAAACCTTTGGAATAAGTTGGGTCAGAGATTGCCAACCAGGCGTTCTCATCAAACAAGAGTGTCCAAGTTTACAAATGTGCCTCGTGAAAGTTTATTCAAAATTCCCGTATTCGCACTTCTAAACCTTGAGGAAAGTTATACAGTTCAAATTCCTTGAGCCCCTGCTGATTCTGCAAGTTTGCCCAATAACAAAGAAATGTTCAGTTCATAGTTTCAATGGTGGGTTTATTTGAACCGTGAGAGACGGAACCATAACAAAAAACGCACTTCAATTTACACATTAATTTGCATTTTAATGAAGGAAATAAGTATTTGACCCCTTTGAAAACGTGCTTTAGTACTAGGTGCCAACAAAGGTTTTGCCAATACCAGAGGTCAGACTTGTCTTGTAGTTGGCCAAAAGTTTTGCACACATCTCAGGGTGGATTTTGTCCCACTCCTCTCTGCAGATCTCCAAGTCATTAATGATTTCACTGAGTCAGAACATTAACGCTCTCTGAATGTGCCCAGCACTGCAAGTATGCCGTCATAGATCAGGTTTTATATATTAAATATTTCTTCCCAGAAACTCGCGAGAGCAGGACCAGAAAAGGTGGCCGACGGTTCCTCCCTTTCTTTGTATTTATCACACAATGAAGACGTAGACAGAAAAATACTGTCCAGCTTTGTGTTAGAGAAATACAAACAACGAGTGACTTTGTAAATGTGTTTAAGATAAGGATGTGGCATTAGTCATTTTAGGTTTGGTCATCGCTGGCGTCCTGCGTGTGTCTTTCTGGTGTTGATGGGAGCTCATCACTGTCAGTGTACAGTGATGAGCTTATTTATGCACACCAGTGTAAAGCAGTGCTCTCATTATTTACAGGCAGTAAATCATTTTCCTTGTCAGAGGTACTCTCTTCAATCGTGATACAGTAGGATTGTCGTGTCTTGCATGACATGACGTTGGTGCTGGTGGTCCATTCATCTGGGACTGATTCAGCCATGTCATCTGTAACTCCTGCAGTATCTGTCCAGCCGCCGCCGCCGCAGTCATTGTTTACAGCAACCGTTGCAGTTTTGACTGCAGCTACAACTTCAATATGTTACTTAAATTCAATGTTATTCATATAATGCCAACAGTCAAAGCCTCTTGGCTGCTCTGCATTGTGACATTAGCTATGACTCCTAACCACTCCAGGTGGGTATAAATGGTTTGTGTTAACCCTTCTAGGGCTGCAATACATTGAGAATTTTGAATAATTCAATAATAAAAAAGTCTTGACGCAGTGTTTACTTCTATGCTTCCTTTAATGCACAGCTTTGCAGCGCGCCGATATGTTAGACCAGAGTGTTGCATCCACTGAAAACAGACCTGCAATACAAGCAGCATCTGAATAAAAGGTGACGGCGTTAAGCCCACACAGCCCCCAGTTTCAAACAGAAAGGCAGCAGCAGTGAAGACGCTGCACAGTTTTAACGTGAGACTGGAATCTGTGTGTGTAAAATGAGTTGGACACCCCAAAATTCAGATGTTTAGCCATTCACACTGGTCCAGCCCAGTTTATCTGCCCCCACCCAGGTGGGGACGCTGATTCAGGCTTGTGGGTGGGAGTTGGGGTGGTGGCTGGGACGGATGGATGGCAGAATGAGAGGTGAATGAATACATATAGTATGTGAATAATTATTTATTATCTGAAAGAGTTTGTATACATGTAAAAGTTTCTTCTTTGGTTTGGTGCTGCTTTCTTCAGACGTTTTGTTTTTGGCCGTTCCAGATGCTCACCTGAGGCAGGTCGAGTATAAAAGGAGGCCAGTCGCCTTCAGCGGGCTGAATTCCTGTTCCAGTAATAAAGGCCAGAGGATGAGTTTAATTCAGCCTCAGGCCGCTTGGTTTGAACCTGACAGTGAGACCATCTGTGTGACTGATCATACAACAGAAGCGTGGGCTTCATTTACCTGTGTGTGTGAAGATGTTCTCATCATGTGCAAAAAAAAAAATCCATTTCACCATTAGACTCATGACACGTGCATGTCGGCCAGTTTGTTCTTACCACTGTGCACATGTTAGTCAGTTTGCCTCCAAATCCACAGGCTTGTGCTTACATCTTGTAGTCTTACTGTCTGCATACCGCCACGCCCCAATTTCTCTATATAAGGAAACAAGGTTAGCTGGAGAGAAAGCTGTGACTTTTTTTAAAGAAGGCAGCACCAGTAAGGCAAGAACGCAGGAACAACTCGGCCTGAAGAAACTAACAAGGTCCAGAAGGAAGACAGGAATGGTTCCACTGTCTGTGGGCCGGGGCCAAGACATTAGGCTGAGCAGTAAGATCCAGGCTGTGTGCGATAAGACAGGCCTCTTTGTCATTTCATTTTCTTTAGATGTTGGTCATTTTTAAAGAAAATGTAATTTTAATCCTGAGCTTCTGGTTAGATTATGATAATTTGGTAAACTGCTTTGCTGTAAATAAGAACCAAAGAGAAATAAGTGTCGTTGTTAACAGTAGAGCTTGTAAAGAAAGACGGGCCCTTATAATTTGTTTTGTAACCCAAATTCAGGTTTTTTCTTTTCTTTCATCATGAAACATTTGTGCAGATTTAATTGTATCGTGTGTGTGTGTGTGTGTATCGTGTGTGTGTGTGTGTGTCTCGGACCAGAA